TTAATTTAAAAAAAAAAGACACAATAGAATTTGGTCAGTACTGAAAGATAAGATTATAGATGGCCTTGATGTTTCAGTTGAGGTACATTTTTTGGACAAACACTATATATTTCTAAACACTTGAGGAAGAGAAAAGTAAAGCTTAAGGGGTGGATGTGGCCTGAAACTACAGTCTCGATACAAAATTGTAGATGAAAGGACCCTGCAGCTGTGGTGGCTTCCAGTTCGACTTCCAGCAAAACGGGGGGGGGGGGGGGGGTCCCCAACCTTACACGCCCGTTTGCCCCGGCAGCGGAAAGTTCAGACCCGTCGTTAGAAGCTTTGCCTCTGTGACATAAAGGTCCCTCTGACCGACTCCTCATTTTATTTATAAACCTGCTGGCCGGCTGACGGGGGAAGTGCCGGTCGGTGGGGATGTCAATCTCAGGCACTTTTCTGGGTTTTGTTTCTGCCTCGCTCGCTCGGGGCAGGTTTTTGGGAATGGCAGTCCTGGGGGTGGGGGAGTTAGGAGGGAGAGAAAAGTGGGAGCAGGGCTTTGACCTGCCGGAGAGGAGCCCCTGCTGACACGGTCAGTCTGACCCATTGAATGGCCTGAATGCGATAAATGCCGCTTTATCCTGCCTTGAAAGGCACGAGATAGCACAGTCTAAATGCCTGGGCATGCTTAAATAGGCGACTCGGGGTGTTTGAGCTGAGCGTGTTTGAAATCTGAGCTCTCTGACAGCCAGGGAGCTGCCACAGGTCACCTGCCTCGCTCCGCAGGGACAGGCCCAGGTCTCGCAAGAAATTGTCCGTAGACGAATTGTAGTACAAATTCCTTTCTTTGTTGGTTGGCCTCTTTCACTAGACCATGGCCTATAAAATTTTGTAAAAACAATTCTTAAATATTATTTGAAAGGGCAAATGGCCCACGCTGAAAGGCTTGACAGTTTGACATATAGAGCAGGGTTTTGATAGCTCGGAAACGGAAAAGTGTGGCCAAGATTCCCCCCCCCCCCCCTTCTTGTTAGAAGCCTGGTGTTTTTTAAAACAGTGTCTTGTTGCGGCACCCAGTTGCTCTGCTCCCAGCAACCTGACAGGCAGTGCGCCTGCGTCAGTGATCTTCAGTCCTTTCGGACCCATTTGGGAGAGGAGCCCCAGAACAGCTGGCACCTTTGAATCCAACGTCCAAAAAGCACAGATCCAGGTATTGCCAATGAAGGAGCCATTTGGATGCTCCTATCAAAGCAGGTCGCTTTCTGAGAACAGCCAGAGCTGGGGCCGAGAGAGAGAGGAGCCTTGAGTTTCACTTCACTGAGGGGGATTGGGGCGGGGGGGGGGGATTTGAGTGGCCCGGCCCCATCAGAGCCTGGAAGTGGCAAGAAAGTGGATTTCTGCATTAGAATGTTGCATATGAGCAGCCGGTCTGCGCCCAGCGCCGGCTGCCTCTGCATAGCCAAAGGCCATTTTCAGGAGCCTCCTGCCCCTCAGTCACTGGCCTGCTAGTTAATTGCCACACGGACTTCATGACACATGGGCAGATAATATGACATTTTCGGTTTCTGTCACTAGCAAACGCCACAACGTTGCTTGCACTAGTTGCTAAGAAGCTGTCAGAAACCATTAGCGATTGGCCAAAGTCGCCCTATGGCATTTCCTCATAGCATCAGCAAAACGAGCATAAATCACCCACTGGAGCCTACTGCTATCCTAATGAGGCTGTAAGCTTGTTTATGGACTAGCATCATTTTTATGATTATTTCCACCTTTTCAGTTTGCCTTCATTTGGCGGCAGGAGAAGTCAGCTCCAGGAATGAAGTCACGGCTGACATTTTACAAATGTGGTTCAGAGCTGCGGCCTGCTGCCGTGTGGTCGGCCGGCGGTTCTCCAAGTTTGTTTAGTGATCTTAAAAATAAAAAAAGGAAATAAATCCTCCAGAGACCGCAGAGAGGTGACTGTATCCAATTGCAGCGTGAATGGATATGCTAAAGGTACAACTGACCATGTAGACGGCCCTCGGAAGCGGGAACGTGGCGAGATCCTTTTTCAATTTTTAAAAAGTGGGGGAGGTTAAACAATTTATTAAAATCTACGAAAGTGTTTGCTTTTAGAATAGTGTGTTTTATTATGCTCTCTTCTGGGTCCCCATCTTCTCCATTTCCCTAACTTGTGTCGGGAAGGAGCAGGGTTTATTATTTTAGGCTTTTCTGAACATGCACCAGTATTTACACTGGATTGAAAGCATTTGCTTCCAATGAAAATCTTGTCTTAGATTACAACCCAGCAGTGTAATTTCCCTCCCAGATGGGAGTAAAGTAGCTGTATTTGCCTAAAAACAGTAGGAAGAACAAACTGTGCGTTAAGCCAAGGCTGTTTTTGGCTTGAGCTAATGATGTAATAGAAACCTTTTATTCGGGAGAGGTCACTGGCAGGGACTGAAGGGGGTGATCTGGCTCCGGCTTGAAAGGTTGCTCCATTGTATCTACATAAGTCTTCACTTAAAAAACTCTGCTCCTAATGCTTCTGCTTTCATACAGCAGAAATAAACAGGAAAGGTTCTGGCGAGTGTTACACATGGAATGCAGAAAGCCTTCCTCTCCTAATGGAGTATATAATTCAGGTGCCCTCAAGGCACGCTTTCAGGAATTCTTTTGCCCGAGGTAATGGGAAGCTAAGGCTGCTTTAAGGCCTTGATTATCTATTGATGCACAAAGCTGGAAAAAAGTCATCTCCGCTGGATTATAGTAGATATTTCCATAAATTATCAATGAATTCTCTTCTAGGCAGGCACTAGGCATTGCCTGCTAAATTAATCTGAGGGGGTTTGGAGATGGATAGAAAGGCTATTTTTTTTCCTTTTTCTTTTTAAAGGTGGCAAACAATCATGGTGGTGAAAGACTGTGTGGTTAGGTTAGAAGCTTTTCATTTTTAATCAATGATCGAGTAATATGCTTCTTTTCCTTGGTTACCTTTTGCCTGTTGCAAGTGGATTAGCCCATTGAAATTTTAAATGCTGTTGAGTTGTTTTCTTTGCTCATGTTTCTTTAATGAATTGTTATTTTATATGGTGAATTGCTTCTCTGAATAAAAAGCCTCTTTAAATACTGGACTTACAAAGAATTTGTTAGGCAAATCCAAGGGGACGCTTTATAAAACACTTGGTTATGCAAATAAAGAGTTGGGTGGGATGGAAGGAGTACAGATTTAGGGATGGGAGTGTCTGGCTCAGCACAGACCCGCTGCCTCCAGCCCAGGCCGGTGACCTTGGGCAAGTCCCCCAACAGGAACCCAAGCACTGTCCTCATCCATACACCCAGGGCTTTGGCACTGTGGGTCTTTATGATCTTTCTGCTGAGAACACAGCTAGGATTCTGTAGGAACTTCAACTAAAATCTATGGATTTTAAGTACAATTAAATTTATGGATTTTTAAATTAGTGAAAAGTAAACTCTGAAAAGTTCTGCAAGCATTTTTTTGGGGGGGAGCATGGCTTATGCTGCAATTATAGCAGGAGTGTTGAAATTGGTCTGTTCTTCACCCAACAAAGTTTTAAAACTTTAACTCAGTACCAGTCAAGGCTAGTTGGGGCTTGGGGGAAGGGTCTCCTGAGGCAGCTGTAATTGATAATGATAACATAACTGCCATAGATTAGACTGAAACAACTGAAATTAAAAGAGAGAATTCTTTTTGTATGCCGTATATGTAGGCTACTAGAAATAAGGACTCTGGGAATTCATGGAGCAACATACAGTCCCCGGGAAATGTGTCTCACCAAAATGTACCCAGTTCTTTCTGGGCTACGCATGCTGCTCTCCAGGGACTTTCGTGGCCCAGTGAATATGCTTCGAGGACTTTTGTTACCTCGTTGTGAAGCCTTGTTGCTGTAGCGCTTCTTTCCGGCCCAGGTCAACCCGTCCCTTTCTAAAAGCCAGCAGCTGCCACCAAGAGCTGGGGCTCCGGGTAGAGACGCATGCTTGAAGCTACTTTTCAGTGTAGTGGGTTTAGTTTGCTGTTGTTTTTCCTTGAGCTTTTGCACTCAAACACCAAGTGTTTCCTTTTCATTTGTACCTTATAACTTATTTTGGACAGTGTGATTTTATGGGCTGAAAATGTTTTTTTTCTTATTAGACATGACATTGTAAAAGAAATCCTACATTTTAAAGTTTATGGTGTCACAAAGCCAAAATGTTTTCGAGAAGAAGGAGCTTAAATGTTCTACCAAAAATCAATAGAAAAATAGGATCCCATACACAGACCTGTGTAAGCAGGTGACTTTTCAGTAAGAAAATTTACATGTAGAAGAAATTTTAGACACTGTCTGTATTATTAGGGTAATATAATGCCAGTGGACTGTTCATTTAACATCACTTTATTTGATTTAAATAGTCACTGTTTTTTAATCAAAAAACAATTTTGGGAGTTTTCCCTTACTGAACTCATTCTCTCTTTCTATGACAAGAAAAATTATATTCTATTTGAAGCATTCCTATGTCAAAACTGCATATATGACAAATCACCTACATTTCCCTGGCCTAATTTAGTCTCAAGATGGATCACTTGTGGAAATAGTTGATATCTCAGATGCATCTTCTCCCAAGTTGACATCAATGACTCCATGTGGGATTTGAATACCCAGGCAGGGGCCCAATTCTGCTAATGGCTTCCACCATATTTAACTCCCCAAAAGGAGTTACACTTCACATGTCTCAGCTACACACATTTGAATAATTACCATGGCAACAGAGCTGCTAGAGAGATTGGATATTTCCCTCCATTCCCTTTGACCTTTGCACGGTTCTTTGGAAGAAGTTCCTTAGACCTGACCGCTTTTGAGCCTAGGCCTTGTTCTTTCTCTTTGTCTTAGAAAAAAAAAAAGAAAAGAAAAGAAAAGAAAACAGTACCAAATAAACTATTAATCATTTATATTGCTCTTTTGGTTTTGTTTATATCCAAAGGCATACTATTTGAATAAAGCATGTCAAGGTAGCATCAGTCAAAATTTGATTCACTATGTTTGCAGGTGATGGCTTGGACAACAGTGTAGCTTCCCCCAGCACAGGTGACGATGATGATCCAGATAAGGACAAAAAGCGTCACAAAAAGCGTGGCATCTTTCCCAAAGTAGCCACAAATATCATGAGGGCGTGGCTGTTCCAGCATCTAACAGTAAGTGGATTCTAAATGACATATCTAAACTAAATATGGACAAACAGTTTTGATAGAAAAAAAAAATGGGGGAAAAGTGAACCCTCTGAACCTGGAATATTTCATAAATCATTGTCTTCCCACAGTTTCCACAAAAGTGTCCGCACTTATGTCCTCAAGACGTTACCCGCAATGAGGCGTTTGATCTGAAGTTCGCTATTGCAATGTTGTTAACTTTCATTCGTTCTAAGGGGTAGGAGTTCATGTGCACTTGTGATTTTAAGTATGCATGTTAATGATGTTGCTGCTCTCAGGGTGCCTCTTTAGCACTTAGAACCCGCTCCCAGTAAGAAGCAAGTGAGACAAACCCCAGAGAGAAGGACTTACTTTCTTCTAATGCTTTCGCGGACCTTTATAACGAATGGTCCGCAAAAATTCCAATCTTGTTGCAATGGCAGGATGCGCACATAATTTGCTTTTAAGTGGTGTGAATGCACTGGCTGCCATTCCCAAACGCCCCTGTGAGTCAGGGCTGCGCAGTGAAAGTGGCCCCTGTATTTAGAACTGTAAAGGAAAACAGCAATATAGAGGCAGCTCTTCCTGTGTAGTCCCTGGTGGCTTTTCAAGCCGGGTAACAGTTTATATTGTCTGTGTGAGTATTGCTGTTTTCACTGCAGGAATTCTCCTGGAGATGTGAGAAACTGGAGATTTGGGGCTTTCTGCCACAGAGGGATTTGTTTGGTTTGGTTATTGTTCTGAATGAATTTCATGTTCAAAATATTTATAATCATAATATTGCGGTGGATATTTTTGGAAGTGCATACAGATTTAATGACATCTGAGGAAGAAGACAAAAAGAAAGTTTATGAGTAAAATTATATTTTAAAAATCAGCAAAATTGTTGACCCAGGGGACTGAGACTCTCGCTCTGAGGGACAAAGATGGGTTTAGACAGGTGGTAGCATAGCCCAGCCTAAGATGAACAAAGACGAAGAATCTTTGGCCTTTTAAAAGTCTTAGGAGCAAACCTTTTATGTTACTATTTTTAGCCTAGTTTACTTTTCTTATAGTCATACATTTTTCTTAAGTATTAAAAGTTAATTTTGCATGGTCACAAACGTGTCCTGACCTGTTGACCCTTACACCCTGGCCCACTCTCAAAGCCATGGTCCTCGGTGACTTGTTCTGATTCAGGGAGACAAACAGGACGTGGAAGGCCACGCTGGTGCTGCTCCTGTGGACAGAGGCTGTGCCTCCAATAACACTCGAGGGTATACATTAACCCAGCGTGTGAATAAAATAAAAACTGAGAGCAGCAGGAGTCACTGAAAAAAACTGGTTTCCACCCTTCATTTCTTCCCATGGTGATTCCAAACAGTTACTAGATGATGTTGACAGTTTGGAATCAGCTTTAGGGCTTGGTGAATGCTGGTAGTTAGTGGAAGATTTAGATTGCTTAGCTGATTTTAACATCCTATTAGGTTTACCTACCATCTGATTCAGGTGCCATTACCTAGCTGACACTCGTTGCTGTACGTGGATAGTTTGAGACCTGCCTTGTGCACATCTGTGACTGAGGACTATCAGGTACTACTGAAGGGGAGATGGGGCGCTACGGTCTAGGGGCCTTTTAAAGCCAGCAGGAGATGAGAAGTGGTAGTTGGTCAATAGTGCTGATGCAACCCTGCTAATATTTCATCACCTGTGCTAACCAGCTAGCCTGAGCTGGAGGATGAGCATGGGGAGGGGCCAAATTCAGGCCCACCCTGAATATTTCTATTTCCTGTACTAACAGAAAAAAATGAATAGATTTTGTCAACCTCCATCTCAATCGGCAAAGGAGCGTTGGCTTTATTTGCAGCTCAGGTGCCCCTGAATAAAATATAATCAAATATTGGTTCAGATAGAAGCAGGAGAGAGAGAAGCAAGTTCTTTTATGCATCCATCAGGTTTCCTAGGTTATATCCTTGTGAAGGACCTTGCAGAGAGCTATATTACCTCCTTTAAAAAACAAAGAATTCCTTTTAACAGCCAGCATGACTTTACCTGCATTGCAACACTTTCAGTGGTACCTATTATTGGAATGATTGTGATAGGAGTTATTCTTGAACTGCCCGATTTCCTTCAGTGTCGGGGTCTGTTCTGGCCTGTATCGCTACCCTGGAAGGGGAACCCATTTCCATGTCTCCCTGGCTCTCTATGGATGCTCATAGACATCACCTCGTGGTTTGTTGGATAGTTCCACATGCTCCAGCCCCATTCCACTGCCATCTACTCAGACAAAAATATTGATAATGATAATGGTCTCTAAAAAGAAAGTGCTCTCATAATATCATCTAAAAAGCAAAGGTAGGAGGTATATTTAAAATTTTTTCCCTCTTTCCCCAGTGAGAAAGATTTCCTTCCCCTTTCTCTAGTTGCAAGAGCAAATAGATCTCCTGTTACAAGGAACACCCTTCTCCTTGTCCTGTTGTACTTCTTGAAGGAGGGTACAGACTGCTTAGGTAATATTTATAGTCAGGAGCTGATTATAATAAGTTCTATGGAAAAACCTATAGCGTTTTGTTGTGATTTGTCCCAATGTGGGTCACTACTGACATCTCAGTACTAATCCTTTAGCAACTTCATTTCAAGTTCTGAGAGGTCTCCAGGGATGCACAGGTCATTTGGAAGACTGTACAAATTTTAAATGTAACACATTCTTGCTCGATGATTAATGCAACTTATCTAGAAAATTTTTCTTAAATCTTGCTAGATATAAAAGAGCAATGGAAGCTGGCTAATTGAAACAATCACAATAATAATTAATTAGAAAACTGTAAAAACCAATCTATTAAATGCCAAAGACATATTACAAAACCTCACACACTTCTTTAAAAGCAAATTGCTATTTGTTTTCTTTTTCAAATAAATGGGTCAATCTTTTCATTGGGCTTATTCAGTTGAAAACAAAATCTGCCTTTGAAAGGGCTTTGAAGCATTTGTGTGTTAGAGCAGTGGAATAGGCCCCGAATTTTTTAGAAAACCTTCTGGATTTGCACCCCAGCTGCATAAGAAAATGTGTTGTTCTCTGGTTACCCACAGGTAGATTTAATCAGTAGCACATTTGACTACTCCAAGGAGAGAGCTCAAGCTTCGTTCTTGGACTCACAGTCTCTAGCAAGCTCAACTGGACATACGTGTGCGTAATGGAAACAATGAAAGAAAAAGGAACAGATTTTAAACATTGTTGTTATGGGGTAAAAAGAAATTTCACTGATGTAAATTTTCAGCTTGACTACTTAGTTGAGCATTTGCCAGTTTTGCTAACTAGAGAAGGTCTCTTAAAAAGAAACTATTCCCTGGGATTGAAAAGAAAGACTGACATGTAGATAATAAAAGAGAATTAGAAAAAAAAAATAAAAGCACTTATTAATTGAAATGCTTGCGTTTGCCTGAAGACAAATTATTGCAAACAATTAAAAAGTACTTAATAGTGCCATATTAGTCACTATAGAGTGACAGACAGTTCAGGGGCATACGCCACGTCAAGGTTTCTTTTCCTTTCTGAAGGGCATTATTCCAACTGTAAATATAACCTGTTGTAATGTTTAAGCTGGATGTGTTTTTCATATTAGCGGTTATTTTGCTACACAGTGCCCTGGTGAAAATGAGGAGAAGGAATAAATACAATGTTTAAGGTAAAAATCAAGTCTCCCCCCCGCCACCCTAACATATTGCAGGTTTAAATATAATCTAAATAGAAAAGCGGTTAATATGGTTCTTATTTAAAATATGCAGTGACATATTTTCCTTCATTGAGCTGCTGTGTGTCCCAAGAATCCTGAAAGTTAGAAGAGTGGAGGTTGTTAAAATGCATCCCTGCAGATTCAGGGGAAGGAACCATTCAAGGAGTGGCGCATCTGGTTGGCATTGACCAGGAGGGAGGTGATCCTCAAGGAGAATTGATTTTCATTCGCATTCTCTTGGATTCCCTACTCTTTCACTGATATTGAGGATCCTATAGAGACAAACTTTGTTTGCAAGTCAGATACACATAATTTGCTATTTAGTTTAGTTTTGTTTGTTTGTTTTTGTGAGTTGAGAGCCTAGAATTTTTGTTTGTTTGTAGCCAAATTTGTCTCAGTTTCTTAATTATAAGATTTTCTTTTCTCAATTCGGATAAAGTCAATGTGAGGGTCAATAGAATCTTCCAGGTTGAGGATGGCGTTTCCATAGAAACACTATTAGATGAAAAGTGCCCTGTGGGTCTGCCATTCTAAGGATGGAGTAAATGGAATTGAATTGGGAATTGAATGCTCTGGAAGAGACAGATGTTGTTTCATTGGTTTTGCTTTTGGTAATAAGATTGGTTGGAGACATCATAGTGTGATATCCCTGCTTGCAATTTTGGAAGAATTACTCTGTAAACATTAGGAATTATTTTTACAATGAAAAAGTCCTCCTAATTGATACGCAGATAATCCCATTCTGCTGATCCAGGCGAGCACAATGTGAATCAAAAGGTAGATGGGTAGGCATGTGGACAGAGTAGAAGGCATTTGCTCCTCTCCTCCCATTTCTACTTCTCTCTGATCCTCATTTCTATAGTTGGCCAATTTTAACAATGAATCTTCTTCTTATGTCTTACCAGCTAGCGTCCCTTCAGCTACCATTCGTCCTAAGGAGGTAGCAAACGGGAAGACTATGTTTTGGAATTCTTGCCTGCAGGGTAGTACAAAGTATGACCTTCACACGAGGCCTAACCTATCTTCTTGAGCCAAGGAAGGCGGTTGGTGGAGACAGCAGCTCACTTGACTCCTTCCTCACTATATGTTATCTGCAGATGGATTATTAAATTAGGAGACTTGAAAACTAGTATGAAAACTAGTATGAAGGACACCTTCCAGATGTCCATGTACCAATGGAAAAATGAGCTCTCTCAAATCTGTAAGAAGAATATCTTTGCAGTTATTCTTTTTTCCAGTGCATGGCATTGTCCTTCCCCTTCACAGGCCTTAGTCATGATGATGGGTCACAGC